AACATTGCTTGATGAGGTCACTGGCGAACTATCAGATACTCGTACACGATTCTTGGGATCCAAGGCCGTCAAGCTGTTCCAGGTTTCTGTCAAGGGACAGACTGCAGTTCTCGCGCTCAGTTCTCGTCCTTGGCTAGGCTACTCGGATGTTCAAACAAAGGGCTTCATGCTTACACCACTTGACTATGTTGGGCTCGAATGGGGCTGGAACTTCTCGAGTGAACAGTGCGTGGAAGGCATGGTTGGTATTCAAGGACAGAATTTACGGTATGTTTGACCCTTCTCTTCATTCTTTCCCAACTTCTCCACCGATCATATGATGAACACAAGGGATCCGAATATCTATGTGGATCAACTTTATTTTATTTTCCAATTGTTCCTACTGAGATCATTACTGTCACACCATTTTTGTCTGGATGTTGTGTCACGAACCAAGCTAATTGTGGCTTTCAGGATTTTCTCCATTGAGAAGCTCGACAACAACATGCTACAGCAGTCAATTCCACTTGCATACACCCCGCGACGCTTTGTGAAGCACCCAGAGCAGCCGCTATTCTATGTCATCGAGTCGGACAACAATGTCCTTGCTCCTGCCACGAGAACACAGCTGCTCGAGGATGCCAAAACCCGTGGTGAAGATGTAACTGTCTTGCCACCGGAAGAATTCGGTTATCCTCGAGGCTCTGGTCACTGGGCCTCTTGCATCCAGGTCGTTGATCCCTTGGAAGCTAAATCAGTTATCTATACCGTGGAGCTTGAAGAAAATGAGGCCGCAGTCAGCGTTGCAGCAGTTCCCTTCACCAGTCAGGACGATGAGACGTTCTTGGTTGTTGGAACTGTCAAAGACATGACGATCAACCCTCAGTCTTCTGCCGGAGGGTACATCCACATCTACCGTTTCCAAGAAGACGGTAAAGAGCTGGAGTTCATCCACAAGACCAAGGTTGACGACCCTCCTCTTGCCCTTCTTGGATTCCAAGGCCGTCTTATCGTCGGTCTTGGGTCTTTGCTGCGAATCTATGACCTCGGAATGAAGCAACTTCTCCGTAAGTGTCAGGCGCCGGTTGTGCCTACGACCATCGTCGGTCTGCAGACCCAAGGAAGTCGGATTGTTGTTAGCGATGTCCGTGAGAGTGTCACCTATGTCGTCTACAAATACCAGGAGAATGTTCTGATTCCTTTCGTGGATGACTCGCTCTCCCGCTGGACAACCACCACTACGATGGTTGACTACGAGACAACTGCTGGTGGTGACAAATTCGGCAATCTCTGGCTGCTGCGCTGTCCCAAGAAGACTTCCGAGGAAGCGGATGAGGATGGCTCGGGTGCCCATCTGATTCACGAACGTGGTTATCTGCACGGAACCCCTAACCGCCTGGAGTTGATGATCCATGTCTACACCCAGGACATTCCGACCAGCTTGCATAAGACGCAGCTGGTGGCGGGAGGACGCGACATTCTCGTCTGGACTGGTTTCCAAGGCACCATTGGAATGCTGGTTCCCTTCATTAGTCGGGAGGATGTCGACTTCTTTCAAAGCCTGGAGATGCAGTTGGCTGCACAGCACCCTCCTCTCGCTGGTCGGGACCACCTGATCTACCGCAGCTACTATGCACCCGTCAAAGGTGTCATTGACGGAGATCTGTGTGAGATGTATTTCTTATTGCCTAATGACACGAAGATGATGATTGCCGGTGAGCTTGATCGCTCCGTGCGCGAGATCGAGCGCAAGATTTCGGTGAGTCACTTTCCCGTGGTATTGAATTATTCGTGGCGATAACTAACCAAGAATGCAGGACATGCGCACCAGGGTGGCTTACTGATTTTGAAACGATGGAGATTCTTGGCGTCTAATCGGGATAATGTCGTGTATGCGGGTTCCTAGATACCCATAATTGATCGCAATGCCCATCATCACTTGTACTGTTTCCGCCATTCGGGTTTTCGGGTTTGGTGGGTTGTAAACCGGTAGAAACTTCCTGTTGCATGTCTCTTGCCTCGCTCGGTTTTCCGTTTTCCTCTCTCGGATGATCTTGAGCTGGATGCCGCTGTACTTTTATCATCAGAAAGAGTGCAGATCGGTATGAGACGAGAGAAAAGGCATTTCTTCGGAAATGCCCTCGACGATCTTTGAGTACGATTTTATCCGCTGTTCTGCCACGGATCTCATCGTAATTTATAGTCGGGACATTACATTATATTCGAGCCTTGGTTTGTTTATAGCAATCAATATAATATAACATTCTCTGCATGAGAATTGATTCTCTTTCCGTGGTGAATGCTCCCTGCATAGCTTATTCTTACTGTACCTGTAGCTGTTGCGACTGCTAATGCTGATTTCATCGCTGCTTCTATTCAACTAGAGGGATGATGCATTCGATATTGTCAACGGCACACAAGGTAAGTTACCGATATAACTTCTCCAACTTCTTCGTCGACCCACCAAATCACCGTCTATCGATCGCCTTACCAAGTCCAATCCTACAACCGAATATCCCGATCAATGACCCTCGCAGCCGCCAAGCACTTCTCGTCGTGAAACCGCGGCGCAACCACCTGGATCGCGCAGGGCGCACCGTCGACGGCGTCGGGATGGTCTGCATTTTTTCCAGCATTAGTCAAACAAAATATCCAGTGGTTCCTAGTGATTTCAACCATGCATATATCCAGCCACACGCGAAGATTACAGCCAGCTGCAGGGGAAGATAGAGGGTCTAGACATACAACTCGGCTGCACGCCATCCGTCAGGATTATCGGTTCCGGATCGAGGACCTTGGAGGCCTTGCCGTAGGGGATGATGCAGGCTGGATACTGTCGATAGCAGAAGCTAATGTTAGCATGCATCCCTATCTTCAATGACCACAGCGCAAGAATGAGACAGAACATACGTCCACCAGATTCCACACAAGGGTGTACGGCGGCCACCCGAAGGTATCCCACTCGACGGCGGGGCTCTGGGCCCCCGGGGCGAGGACGACATCTAATTCGTTGGTGACGAACGTCGCGCGCCACGCGTCGCTGTACTTCTGGCGTTCCTTGTGGAGGGTATCGATTAATGTGAATGGGGAGACGGTCTCGTTCATCGGGACGGGGAAGGGGCCTGTGAACATTGGGGAACTGGCTTTCGCGACGGAGGCGACGGGCGGTTCGCCGCTGGGGGTTATGTGGTCTTCGCTGGGGCCGTAGATGAAATATTGGAAGCTGAGGCGGTTGGCGTGGGCGAGGTTGGTTGCGAGAGCGAAGGCTGTGGAGGGTGAGGGTGAGGATGCGGTGGTGCTGTTGTCGTCGTTGTTAGGGTTCAAGTAGACGATGCGATGGCCTTTCTTCTTCAGGGCGTCTATTGCATTCTCTAAGGCGCGTTTCACGGGGGGGTGGAGCGGGAAGTGTGCGCATTCGCCGAGGACGCCGATTGTTAGTAGCTGCTGCTGCTGCTGGTTCATGGCCGCTGGCCTGCACCAAGGCGCTGCGATGGCGGCACTGTCGTATCGCCAAGGGGATGCGTCCAGGATTGTGGACATGAATAACTCCAAATCCTCAAAGGATTGAGCCAGTGGGCCGGCGGAGGGCATGATGCCCGGCAAGCCCTCCATGGCGCCGCTGGCCTGGCCCGCGAACGGGATGCGGGCGGTGGTGGGCTTGAAGCCGTAGACGCCGCAGCAGAGGGCTGGGATGCGGATCGAGCCGGCGATGTCGGTGCCCACGCCGAGGATGGAGCCCCGGAGGGCGACGAGGGCGCCTTCGCCTCCCGTCGAGCCGCCGGCGGTGAGGTTCGTGTTGTGGGGGTTCAGGGTGCGGCCATAGATGTTGTTGTCTGAGTCGCCTGTCTGGGATTGTCGTTAGCATATGCTGTACTGTACGGTGCAGTCCATGTCTCCAGACCCGACCCGAAGAGAGGAAGCACCAACTCTCCTCATCCAAATCAACCACCAAAGTTGAGGGTATCCCTCACCATCATAGTCTGCGGCACATTCGTCTTGACGTACAACACCGCCCCCAGATCCCACAACATCTGGACCAACGCGGAGTTCTCCTGCGCCGGGCCATGTCCCAGAAACGACACATACCCGACACTGGTATCGACCCCCTCCACGCGGAAACTATCCTTGAGACTGACCGGCAACCCGTGCAACGGACCGACGACCCTCCCCTCCCGCGTCAGATAGTCATCCAGATACCTTGCTCGCTCGAGCGCTCGATCGAAGAAGTGCTCTGTCAGACAGGATGTCTATATTTTGTTGGGGGTGGAGTGTGAGTGTCTGTCCGGCGAGAGAACTCGACTGGAAGCGCAAGTGGGGAGGATACGAGACAGACCAATTGCTGCGCGACGGCGGCGCGCTTACAGAACGCGGTGGTCACGGCGACGGCGCTGACGTCGCCCCAGGCGAGGCGCTGGAGTAATTGGCCCGCGGTGTAGTTCTCGGTGAGGTCGAGTTCTGCGGAGGTGAGGATGTTGCTCTTGGCGACGGCGTCGAAGGCCAGAAGGTGGCCGTTGGCGGGGAGGGAGGCGCGGAAGGAGTCGGTCAGGCGCCAGGCGGAGGGGATTTGCGAGTCGAGCTGCTTGCGCTTGTGGGCGACGATGGCGCGCCAGTCTTCGGGGCCGGAGAGTTTCGTGACTGTCATGTTTGGTTGGACTTGCGATCGCGGGAGTATGATGGAGTCAGAGAAGATCGTGTGAGCTCACCTGGGTAAGAGGGGCCAATTGGGACGTTTATATACTTGGCTCGAATGACAAGTTCATCTCCGAGTTGATCTGCCGCGAGGAAGAGGAGAGGAGAGGGGCTTATCGTGCTGTGCAGTGAGCAGAGGTGAGGGGATCAACACAATCTACTAAGTAGTGCGTCCACTTGCCTATATGGGATACCTCGGTTGTCAGCGGGGTCTAGTGTGCTGACTGGGACATAGCATATTATCTACTGAGATGTAATCATGTTCAAGCATTCTGCTCAGTTCCTATGCATACGGACCGATATATTTAGAAAGAAATTATATTCCGAATGTCTCAACTGGTAGGCTTCATCACCACATCATCCGGCCCCACGCCCCCAAAATTCGTCAAATAGTACGCATCAATCACAATCCGATCCTCCACGCAGGTCATCACCCCAACACAAACCAGCCCATTCAACCAATTGTACTTCCCGGGTCCTGCCTCGATCCTCAGGTGCGAGAAGAACTCCACATCATCCTGAGTGACCGTCGGCGGCGGGCGTGAGAACGGATCCTCCGCCACCTGTCTCGCATACGCCGTCCCCGGACCGGGACGATAAAGCCCATGGGCTTGAATATACAGGTAGTGGCCGTCATCGGTCTTCGCCGTGTAGCGCGCATCGAGCGTGATGGACTGCAGTTTTTGATCAGACACCGAACCTGAGACAATCCGAGTGGTGGACACTCACATGCGTCCCTTCAATCATGGTGGACCAGTCCGCTCCCCCCAAAGGTAGGACGGTTCCTGAAAGGCCCCCCGGCCCCTTTAAGGTACCACCGACGATGTTCGCGATACTCCGGATGACGCCCGCCGCGTGGGGGGCGCCAAGATTGATCTCGTCTTTGTCGATGTCGCATTCGAGGCGGTAGAGGTATGTCAGGTCCGGGCGGCGCATGGGAGGGGTCTCCGGGTAGAAGGCATTGCCGGGGGAGGAGGAGTGGTTTTGGGTTGAGTGCATATTGCTGCTGCGTCGGAGGGGGTCTATTTGGAGAGCTTGATCACTCAATTGCTGTTGTACCCCATTCAATCCAGTTGAATTGAGCACAAGAGTACCGCGGCAATGCCATGATTTATCTGCGTTTCGCTTTGGGGCTCAGAATAGAAGCTGGACGCGAGTGGTGTTGTTCATGTAAGTAGAGTTGGTGAGCCCCACATCACGAATGGTACCTGCGGGGAAATGCTTATCGTCACTTCCTAATGCGGCAGGTCGACCCTTCTGCCGAGTCCTGCCCTTTAAACCTTCCAAGTTCTGTTATCAATTGTCAATCTTCGGCGCGCGAGGAACCCGAACTCAATACTGAGATGAGTGTACCTGATACTAACGCTCCGATTAGATAGACTCTCCGGTTGCTCTGGTCTGGCATACCTACTGCATGAATACTCGTCAGTCAAAGTGCTCACTCCTTCGTATCATTTAGCTAAATCGTCCGCAAGCATCTCGCAATCGCCAAACCATAAAATATCACATCCGCTATTCAGAAATTCCTCGTCCCCCTGAGACAGAAAGAAATCGGTCATGGCTTTCGTTCAGGCCGCATTCTCCGACCCTAGAGTTCCTCTTCAGGACCGACAAGAAGCCCTGAACCGCGCATTCGCCGATCCAGGCCTTCCAGCACCTCACGGCATGCCCTCTTTCTGGCTCAAAGACCCCCCATTCTCTGAGCTCGCAAGCTTGCAATCCGCCGAACTCGCAACAGAAGCGGAGGTTGTGATCATCGGCTCCGGGATTACGGGCGCCTCCATCGCTAGGACCCTATTGTTGAACGCATTTGGCGAAGGAAATCAAGAAAAGAGGCCGTCTGTCGTTATACTAGATGGCCGTGAGGTCTGCCATGGCGCGACGGGCCGGAATGGGGGCCACATCCTTGAGACCGCGGAGGAATTCGGCTATTTCGAAGAGACGTATGGAGTGGAGACTGCGATCCGAACCATGAGATTCCGCCTCGCACATCTGGCGGAGCTGCTGCGAGTGGCAGACGAATACGGGCTGAGAGAGGTTGCCCAGGCCCGAAAAGTCCAGTTCCTGAGCGTTCATTTTGATGATGACAAGTGGGTGGAAACGGTGCGTTCTATCCGGAGACTCAAGGAGTGTATGCCTGCCGAGACGGTGGAATGGCAGATTTTCGAGAAAGCCGAGATACCGAAGGTCAGTTTACTTCCCAACTTTTAGCATATCCGAAGAAGAGCTGAAGGATATGTGTATTTACAAGAGGGTCAGACGCTTACAATAAGACACAAAAGGAATTCTGTCTGGACCCAAACGCTCGAGGTGTCATCGCCGGGCCCGCCGGCGCCATGTGGCCGTATCGCTTCGTCACCGGCTTACTGGCTCGTCTGCGCGAGCAGTATCCCAAGGACCTCCGGATCGAGACCAAGACACCCGTAACGGCTATCCGCGAGAACGCGACACCCACAGACCCGTCCGCACTGCGATACTCGATCGTCACGCCGAGAGGAACGATCCGAGCACGTCATGTCATCCACTGCACGAACGCGCATGTCGGTCACTTGGTGCCGGGACTGCGCGGCCGCATCTACCCCATCCAAGGAACAATGACGGCGCAGAACCCAGGGCGCAGCTTCCGACCACAAGGAACCGAGCACTCCTGGCTGTTTAACTATGAGCATGGCTTTGACTACCTGACTCAGTTGCCCTCCGGTGGGGAGACAGCCAACAAGATGATGCTGGGAGGGGGCTTTGGGCAGCATGCAGATCGAGGGATCTTGGCTTTGGGCATCGCATCTGATAACGAGGGAGTCCCGCCGTATACGCTGAACCATCTGAAGACAACACTCCAGAAGGCGTTCGACCAGGAGGATTGGGGCGAATGGAGCGCTGAGCGGGATGTTGACACGGCGTGGACGGGAAACATGGGCTTCAGCGCAGATGGACATCCGTGGATCGGCAAGCTCCCGCATTCTGCGTCAGGCCGTGGGGAAGCCGTGGAGGGAGACGAAGGCCCTGGAGCCGAGTGGTTGTCGTGTGCGTTCTCGGGCGAAGGCATGGTGCAGGCTTGGCTGTGTGGGAAAGCAGTAGGTATGCTGGTGTTGGCCCATGATGGACGATGGGCCGGAGAGGTAGATCTCTCGTGGGTGCCTGATCAGATGTTCGTGACTGAGGAGCGGATCAAGAGATCGGTTCTGCCACGAGTGGTCCCCGATCATCGTGCGTCGCAACTGTGAGAGATATCTTCGTCTTCTTGTAGTATTTGTTGAATGGGATCGGCAATGTATGTGAGGTCCAAGTGACAGGAGAGTAAACAGGACGGATGTGGTTTTTTGTCAAAAGTACCAAGAATGGCAAGTACTGCATGGATTAGAATCAAACAAAAGAAGAAGAAAAAAAAAAAACAAAATGACATGGTATTCGAAAGCTACATAGCAAGACAGCAACACAGCAACATCTCAAAAATCCGTGCTCATGACTCAGAACAAATGCCTCCATCAACAAAACCTTCTAAAGTCTCTATCCATTCAGATATCCAATTTCAGGGGTTTCCAGCTCCACCCTTCCTGATGTTATCGTACTGCGAAATGGGGTACTCCATCTGGTTCTCAGTCTTATCCAAAACATTGACACCCCCAAGATTATCAACCAACTGTATGCCAAGCGCGTCAGCTTCTATACATCTGAGTAATCCATCCTCTCCAAGCGAGCAAAGCAACACCAAGGGCAAACTCACCGTCACAATCAAACTATCCTGACCCTTCCGATCCCCCGAAGTCTCCCAGAACATGCCCCCGCCCAGACACCTGTTCTTGATGTACTCGGCCTTCAGCTTGACGATATTGGGCGTATCGTAGCTGACCATCGTCTTGCGAGCGGCATCGTACGAGAAGCTGGCACCGATGTCGTTGAGCTCGGTCACGCTAGCCCCGGGCTGCGGGAGGGCCTTGTAGTCCCAGATGCCGTTCTCGTAGCTTCCGCCCCCGACGCCGTTGAAGGGCTTGCCGGGTCCGTCGGTGTTGGCGAAGGATCGGCCGTAGATGGGCATCCCTAGGTTGATCTTGTGCGGGGGGATGCCCGCGGCGGTGTACGCGTTGATCGCTTGGTCCGTGTTGAAGGGGGTGGAGGCCGGGTTGTTGGCCGCGGGGTAGAGGCTGGACGCGTGGCCGGCGACGGGGCCCCAGCTGCCGGCGTAGTCGTAGGCCATCAGGTTCCAGAAGTCGAGCTGGGCGTCCATGCTGGCGAGGTGAAGAACGTTGTAGTTTGTGGGGCCTGCCATGGGGGTGGGTCAGTTTGGGGAGTGCTTGCTGGGCGGAGGGTAAGCGGAAAGAGAAAGAGAAAAGAGAGAACTTACCCGCTGGAGAGGCAACGCTCAGCAAGAAGTGTTTGCCCTTGCCATGTTCCCGTCCGTACTTGTCAAGTTCCTTGCAGCAAAAAATGGTTAGCCATAAGACGAATGGACCAGTAAACTCAATATCAAACACATACCATGCGCAGCTCACGCAGAAGCAAAACCATATCATTCGCCTGGGCATCATTTGCAGGATACTGCGGTATGGAGATTAGTATCGGGTGTTTCATCTTCTGGAAATCCTGCATGCAGAGAGACATGATGACGACGGCAATGGCACACTTACCTCCCAATCAATATCCAACCCATCAAATCCCACATCGCCCATCAACTTGACCGCAGTCGACGCAAACCTCTTGCGTCCCTGCTCAGTGCTCGCCGGCGTGGCAAAGTTACTCGAGTAGGTCCACCCGCCAATCGACAGCATGACCTTCATGCGGCGGTTCTTCTTCTTCAAGAGGAAGAGCTGCTTGGTACATCCGTAGGCATTGTTGCCGACATCGTTCCACGAGTCTCCCGGGTAGTGCTTCTGCACATCGGACCAGGAATCAGTAAGGTAAACCTCGCCGTCGACGCGGAGGTTGGCAAAGGCGTAGAGAACGTGGGTGAGATTCTCGGCTGCAATGTCCTGCGGATTGTGGTTTCTGGCATAGATTGCCTGTTTCCCCAAAGAAGGTGTTAGTGATTCATGATGTGACCCAGTGTTTGAATTGGTGGTGGTTTTATAGATTGGGGAATCTCACCCAGTTCACAAAGTATGCAACTGACTTGTAGCTCGGGGGCTGGGAGCAGTTGACAGGCTTGGGCGAACCTTTCACACGGCCGTGATGACCCTGCGAGAGACCGGGGGCGACTCCAGATGGAAGAGCAGCGCCGTGGATCATCAGTCCACCCAGGGCACATAGGAAAGGAATGATGGTTCTCATTGTGAGAGAAAGAGTGATCTCAACAAGTTGAGTAAGAAGACAAATAATAGTGTTAATCGAGAAAGGAGGGACACGAAGATCGAAGCTGGTAGGCGAACTCAAGAAGAGAGCAAGTTGAGATATGAGAGAGAGAGAGAAAGACACGAAGCGGGAGGGAGAAGAAGAGGAGGGAACAAGGAAGAGTCACAGAGATGACGCAGAGATGGTTGGTGAGGCTTCTGACAGCATTATATAGTCATCACCAGCTTTGAGTCAACCCCATCTTCGTCCCGAATATCTCTCTCTCCTCGAGGGAACGAAAGGAAAGTGTCAACCCAGCACAGCAGTGGATTCAAACGTGCATGCCACCTGTTACACCTCTCCCCGTTTGTTATCTCTCGGCCATGCATCATCCTACCCACCCAGAGTGGCATCTGTCACAGAGTCAATCCATCCTTTGGGCCCCATGATGGGTCGAGATTATTGTTCTTGATCACAACCGACAACGGACGAGGTAACAATCAATGAAGTGATCAGACTGTCTCACAGGGCTGACTTGGCCTCACGTGTGCCTCGATCCCTAACAGAGTAAATCCAAAGTAGATGCTCACAATCAGACCAATTCAATTGGGAGACAAGAAGCCCCATGATGCAACGGCCGCGAGAGAAGCAAATAGCAGGCACAAGCGAAGAAGGTTTCCCACGGATACGTGAATGTATCATGCGCTGCAAGCCATCCGAGTCACCGCTGATGGGTGGAGGGGCTTGTACGACCTCCTTCGCCCTGACGGGGATATTGATGGGAATAGCCTCAGATTGAGGCCGGAACAGGCAAGTAGCCCCGAGTCCCGACTCGGCTGTCGCTGGCATGTGCTCCTTGCCGTCAAAGCACATTCACCGCTCTACTCGGGCACTAAGAGAGTAACTACAATAAATGTGTCAAGTCCAAACAGGTCATAAGAAGTCCATTAAAGTCTAATGCTCTATCTAGTAGTCATGATATTAATTAACGCTATTCAGCATTACCTAGTCGGGTCAGATAATCCCAAGTCAAACTTTTTTCCAGTCGTAGATAGCAAAAGCTAAACCAGGCAATTGGGTATATTGCAACAAAAAGTAAAAGAAAAAAGAAAATCAACCATAAACGCCCTTCATCGTAGCCAGTATTTCAAATGCACCTTGCAGATGAGATTGCATCAATGAATTTGCATATTAGCAGGCCGTTCTCATACGCCCTGGGTTTGCTGTGGCCGAGGGGGGAAGGATCCTTGAACGGTCTGGAAGTAGATGGGCGGTGCGCACGGCCGTGTACTCGGGAGGTGTAACTTCAGGCTCCGAGATCCAACGGGGCGCGATACTGCGAGGACTGAAGAACTCGGCATTGACCTCCTCCTGCGTGATCTCGACCACGGTGTTTTTCGGTCGAGCGTCAGCTTGCGGCTGACATGTCAGCTGGATGGGGATCTTCAAGGATGTCGTCGGCGTCAAGATGTTCGCGTTGGGGGTGTGGTAAGAGAGACTGAGCTCAAGGCTGTAGATGCGGGCGACGAGGCAGGAGTGGAATGTGGGCACAAACGTCTTCGATTTGGGTAACGTGATTGGTACGACCACTGAAGCTGTGTAGAAGATGTTTCCGGAGAATGAAGCAGACGGCCCCGGCAGAGACTCCGTCGAGGACGTCGAGTGCATGGAGTCGCGGCGGGGGGCGTCTGCACTCGTGTGCTTGGTCCACTGCGCCGAGGCTACACACATGGTCGATAGTGGCACAGCTTCTGTGAACATTCCTCGGCCAACCTGCGCCCACGTTCGGATGGACGAAGTCGAAGGGTAATCGCCCCACGGCTCCGCACTATAGAAGGTCGTCGCTCGCAGTCGACTCCACACTGTACCCAGACGCGGGGGTTCTTCATTTCCAAGTGGGTCAAACCGAAGATGCACGGTTGCCACAGTGCTAACGATGCTTGTGTCGTCGTTGCTGGTAGGATTCAGCTGGATAGGTTTCGGTTGCGATGCAGCGACAACGATGCGCCCCTGCTTTCCCCTCATGAAACCACGCTTGACGTCTTTTTCCTTGCGCACGCAGTACAGGGTCTCATCATCCGGAATGTTGAGGGGAGGCTCTTCATCCACCATAGGCACAACCCGGACTTTCTTCCCAATCGAAGCGAGGGTATCAATCGAACCGTTCTGACTGAGGGGGTTTCTCTGCAGAGTTGCACGAACGATATATGAGATCCGGCACATATCAGGGGTCAGGTCGTCGAGAAGCGATTTGCCGTCACTAGCCAGCATGGGGTCCCCAAAGGTGGGCGGAAGCATGGTGTGCGATTGCTCGACGTGGATATTGGTTTTCGGGTGACTGCAGACATGAGGCAGTAGGCGTTGCGGCACCACGAATACAAACGGAAAGTCATAGGTGCGTCCGGCCTCGAGGATGCGTGGAGTGGGATATGCTGCATCCTCTATGGGCTGCCGAAGTCGTAGGAAGGTCTGGTAAGCGCCTGTTCGGCCGGGCATCGATTGTCGCTCTACTGAGGTTCGCGAGGTGCCTATGGAACAATCAGTAACTAAACCAATTATGGTCTCCTTATGTAGTGTTCATTGTACCTTCAAATGTAATCTCCAACTCATCGAAACGAGTGTCATGGTCCACGGTAACTATTACTGTGCCCTTGATGGTGTCTCCGGTGGTGTACACATTGACCAGGCCATCGTGTTGACCATCCAGGTCGATGTTGACCTTGGGGCGGGAGCGAACCGAGAAGCGCCCGACAGAGCTGGAGCTCCGCGACACGCTCGAAGCACTCGTCATCCTTGTTGTTGATGAAAGTCAATCAATGTTGAACTTGTCGAGCACGGGCGGTGAAGATGAAAGGATATTGCTCAATGACGAGCAATTGGTGAATATGCAATGACCGCCAACCAGGACAGCCTGACGGGGTGTTTGGGTGGTATTGTTGATCGGCGGAAGTATAAGTAGGTAGAAGTATGAGAAGTTCGGATCAGGAGTAAAGAAGAAGCAACACAAGAAAAATAATGCGAGATGCAGGGACTTTTTATTCCCGACCAGTCAGTCACTCAAGTGCAGTCAATGGTGACACAAACAAGAATTGGTAGGATCTTGATAGGAAAACGAGAATCCCAAATAAACCCCCAGTCCCAAAAAGGTACCATATATGGATTCCAGGGAGCAAATTGGCAATGGGCAAGTATGTAGGGATGGGGTGACGGCAGTTGCGGTTGAGTAATAGAAAAGGTACAGTGGAGATCGTTTGAATCCACTATTCTTTTTTGATGTCCGTGGTTTTCCGTTCTGATACTTAGTTACTACTGAGTATCAAAAAAAAAAATCAAGAAGTCCCTTGGTGAAGACTTAAGGCTTTAAGATGAATGATTGAGAATCAACCACCAAGGTTCCTGTCCTGAGTCTGTGGTTTTAATACTCATAGACCAAAGGCCAATATCCTCCAAATCCTCAATCCCTTTACCTACCCAAGATGAGTCACGCAAAGAGCTGATAAATCCAAGGAAATAAAGCGAAAGAGAAAATGCACGTGCGACATCTCCAATTTGTTTGTCTGTTTGTTCAATCCATTCAATTGATTCATTTGATTCATTCAGTTTTCTCCCAATACTTGCCATTCTGGACTAGCGTACCCCATATCCCGCTGGGAAGAGATTCGCATTCTGTGGTCGGGACTGGCTTTAGCTTTGCATGAGGAATGGTCCCTCCACTCCTGGTTTGTTGCGCGCGCCCTTTGCTGACATCGTTCGGGCGAACACAATTGAGGGAAAGCGTCACGCCCTACGGAACAAGCAGCGCGCGCCCCTCCCTCTCGTGTATGGATGGTGTGTGTGTGTGTGTGTGTGTGTCTGTGTGGGTGGTATGTCCGCGGGAAAAGGCCCGAGTCGGTGATGATGATGACGCAGCTGGGCCATGGCCAGCACAGTCCAGAACACAACCCCCCCCCCTTCTTCTGCTGTGACTGACGCTCGAGCATCGAGTCCGTGATGAAGTTGATGATCTCTTTTACGGCTTCCCTCTCCCGGCGCTACTATCGGCTGTCTCGTGTCATCGACAAAGACGGATGATCGACTCGACTGCTTTGTATGCGAACACGAAACTCAGATGCTAAGTTAACCACGGAGAACATTATTAATCATAGATCCCCAGCGGTCTGGGCATAGACCCTCGAGATTGATTGATGGAGGCTTCAAAAAACGATCACGAGGAAGCTCGGGATTTCCTCACCATCCTGATTGATCAGATAGAACCTCTGCCCACTTCTCCCCAAGAATCTAAGCCCAAACTGGGGCTGGATTTGCGAGCAAGAAGGAGTCATCCCGCAATTGCTAGCCGATGTCTGACGTCCACGAGTCGATGCTCCAAGCCTTCTTCTTCTTCTTCCTCTTCAAATTTCACGCCCTTGCAATGACATGACATGCGCAAGCCACAAGGGCGTTGTTCGCTTGATCTGTTGCCGATGACGGAGCATTTGACGCGGTCTCATTGGTGGCCTCTGCCGGGTCAAGGCACCGTGAACATTCTCAGGCTTTTCCTGAAAGAGAAGGAAGAAAGAGAAAACTGCGTGAGAAATCCTTGTTCTGTCCACGCTGCCCCCCCATCTTGCTCTGGCTACACAACAACAGGAAGAAGATATCAATCAATTGCACCATCTTATAGAGTGATCGCAACCACAGGCGGTATCTTGACATTATATTATCCTTTGCTGTTATGTTATCCGGACCCAGACGAAGGTAACCGCCCCGGAGTTCCCATACTGTCCAGACCAGGGCCCCCCGTCGGGCGCTCCATTTCTATCCGCCCTTAACCGAGATTCAAGCACGTCTTTTCTACTTTTCCTCGCGCTTTTGGATCTGCTTCTCCGCCCTCGCCCAGCCTCTTCGCGTGTTTCCCGACCAAAATCACTCGCATACAGTCGGCCCGGTCAAGTTCCCCGGCCCTGGCCCTGTTGGGCGGCCAGTTCCCGATACCGATGGGCCTTGGCCCGTCGGAACCGCTTCCCGTAGATTACCATCACCACTAGCATCAGATTTACCCCGAGACTAATGAATCCAACGGTGATGAACATCTTGGTTAGTCCGTAGGTCTCCATCCACGGACTAATCGCGAATGGAATCCCAATGCTGAAGACATTGCGCATGAAGGCCACGCCGGTGAAGGCGTCTCCCGTGAGCTAGACCATGCATTAGCTACCTTCGACACGTTCGCTATAGTGGGATGAAGATGGTGTCTTACCAACACATGGCTGTCAATGACTAGAGTCAAGCATGCGTCGCTAATACTGCCTAGGCCAAAGCCGAACAATGCCCCACCGATGCTGGGGTAGATCCAATGCATACCCTGGACGAACCACACGTCAGCGAGGAAGGTTGCTTTCACCCCCCCTTCAAAAAAAAGAAAAAGAAAAAGAAAAGAAAAACAGGTCACTCACTCGGTCCAGAGTCACGCCAAACATTATCAGCCCACCACATAGTGCGATTGCTGGCATGTGGAGAATATAGAGCCGCATCTCCGGCTCAAAATAGCCTTTGTTACGTCGAGCAAAATATCGAAGCGATCGGTCTCCGAGATACCCTCCGTAGAACGATCCGATTAAGTTCCCAATGAATGGTCCAACGCTCATGAAGCCGATCTGTTCCGGGTTAAAAAGGTAGGGTGGTAGCGGGAGGACAAGAGAAAGAACGCTTGACATGATCGTGAGCCACATGACGCCACACGCATACTGCAGGCCACAGCACAGCACGGCAGGGAACGTGAAAAGGATCTCAAAAGGCCGATAGTAATATGGCCAGATGGGTTCCGGCGTGTACGTCACGAGAGCCAATCTCTGCCGCCAGCTCTTCATTGGGACGCTCAAGTCGATCTCAACACGCCCAGCGCTGGACGCTTCAGTTTGAAGAATTATATCTTCCGTGATGGCCGATTTGCTATCTCCCTTGGTGCTAGAAGCTGGCACCACCTGCGGTTCATCGATAGATTCCTGCGATTCGTGAACTCCATCTATCACCACAGTATACTTTGTCTCTTCGTAGATAAACATGAACAGTACAAAGATGATGGCGTTACAAATGCCAAGCGTACGGTATGACATCCTCCAGCCTTGGTGGGTCGCCTGCACACCGGCTGCCATGGGGGTCAAGAAGCTCTTGCTCGACGTCAGCTGCGATTCTCAAGATCAAGACTCGATAATCAGAGACTTACACCAATCATCATCATCGTCATATACAATGCGTTCATTGTACCGCGGTGATGCACAAAGAAGATGTCCGCAATCTGATGACGTTAGCGAGCATCTTTCCGGAGGCAAGAACACGCACAGTAAGTTGGACAATAGCCTCATTGGTCGCACCGGCCAAGCCCTGAATGAGGTTTGTGATGTAGAGCTCAGAGAGGCTCTTGATCTCTGCCGTCCAGAAGGCAGTTACAAGCATCAGTGCGGTGGAGATTAGGTAAATGGGCCGACGCCCATATTTCTTCGCCAAGGGAATAAACATGACGCAGCCCATAGATAGGCCCACCGAGTTAACCGACATGGCTCGATTCAGTTGGGTATATGTGACGTTCAAGTCCACCACCATCAGTTGCCAGAAGATGAGCTGAATCGAAAGCCTACAGGTGAAGATGTCAGCCATGGAGCCTCAAAGGCTGTTATTCAGTTGCCGACTCACGCAGTGAAAATGAGACAGGTGACTGCCAGTACTAGTGTGAAGTTCACAGCTTTGCGCGCGGTACTCCAATTCTTTCTCGCTCCACGCGTGTTAGCGAACTCCCTTTGTCTTTCGAAGAAAGGTGTTTTACCAGAGGCTCGTTGGGGTCGCTTGAAGGGACCGGGCTGAGGAGGATCACTTGTTGACCTTGAGTCTCATCCTCGCTCTCTGTATCTCATTGTCAGTCTCTAGGCTGCTATCATGTAAGAGAGATTCTTACCTTTGACGAAGAGGAAAGTGCCTGGAGGTAGGTCATCTTCCACTCGATCCTGAGATAGCGAGCTGTGGCCTGCCATCAATGTTCGCCCAGTGCAAAGGAAGATGGTTGAATTGTGAGAAAATGTCACAGAAAGGCCTTTGATGATGGCTTCCACAGTCAGGCTCGAGGTATGCTTTGGGTGAGATGATATATAGTCGCCCGCGCAGACTCACGCCTTTGGTGGCGCAAGGAGCCCCGACATTCCATTCCACGCGGCCCTTGCTAAGAGCCTTAAACCCTATCATGATAGATGATGGCGATGGAGATCACGAGTGCAGTTGAAGTGAGTACGAAATGCGGGGAAACCGAGTGTTTAGTGTTTGGACCAGGCACTGATAGATAAGAAACCGCCTCAATCCACCCAGACGGAGTCCTGAGGAGTTGATCAAATCCCAACGAGGAAAGGGAGAGCGGGTCTGGGGGGTCGACCTGCCAATAAGGGAATAGCCTCGGGCTACCTAGTATGAAGGCGCTTCGCTACCTTAGATATAGCATCACACAAAATCAATCACTCTGTGTTTTCATTTGTTGTTCATGCCGAACGGATTGGTGTCAACTTGAAGATAAACGTCTCGAAACGCTGCAAGTTGGAGATGATCCAAAGCCGATCCCAAGAAGGAAGGTAGACACCTTGCCACAAACATTCAGAGTGTGATGATGTGGATGATCTAGGCTGACAAGCGACTTGACTTGTACTTATCTATAGGTTAAATCAAGTTCATCCCAAGTTCATCCTTGCCATCAGACGATAAAGAGGCGGTTCATTCGTGGTGACAGAGGGCCAGTAGCACCCTCGTGTCTTATCGGATGAATTTTGGGTCCCAATACCTAAAGCAGATGGCTTCAACTCCTCGTTTGGATTTCTTTCGAGTTCATGATGGTTTGGTCACCTGCTTATAAAATTTGCTGGACAACTTTGAATGACCCCCTTGAGTCGAATAGATCTTCGTTCAGTCAGCGCAGTCGCACACACAATCAGTCTCTCGTTCTCGAATGACCCGCTGATCCGATGGCTACGGCCTGCTGCTGCTCCATGGATGAGCCAGCATACGAGCACATTCAACTGGCAATATCGTCGGGTACAACGGTTCATATCTGAGGGACTTGTTTTTCAATCGGCTCCGGTACATCAGATTGCACATTTGTTTCCATCAAATCGACAGGTGTCACAAAATTCAGCCGTGATCCAGAAGATACCAGACTCTCGTGATGAAAAGGATGCTGGCATAGCTATCATGCTATACCCGCCTTCCAGACAAATCAAGTGGACGATCGGAAGGCTGCTCCTAATTGCAAAGGTTTGGTTTCTGGATCTGATAAGCCCAGTTACAGACAATGGGGCAAAAGTGAAGGTCAATACCTGCTCTCCCCCCAACTGAAGAACAACAGTTCTTGATCATGATGAATGCTAACCCAGTCACACCGCAGCGCGTGGAGACCCTTATGAAGTCTCACGAAAACTCACTCAACGCCATCAGAAAAAGATATGATGTAAACGATCTGTGGTATCTTGAAGTATTAGCTGTTCATCCTTCTCTTCAAGGCCGAGGATTGGGCAGCATGGCGATGCGGTGGGTTCTGGACCGTGTTCAGGATTCGCCGATTTTCTTAGAGTGCACAGCGGAGCAAAATGTGAAGTTCTATGAGAAGCTAGGATTTGAGGTTGTTGAAAAAGTGGATTTGACCGATGAAAAAGACATCGCCAAAGTTTGGCTCATGTTTCGACAGGCACAGAATCTCAGTTCCTAAGTGTCGTTATCTTGTATGATCCTGATCAATACAACGCAATCTCCAACCCTCGCACATAAGCAAGTTCATGTATGCTGGTTTGCTCAGGGCTAGATATCCACCATTCCTCGATGATTTCCGACAAGATCTGCAAGAGTCGCTCATTCCCAGGCGGGTCATGAAGGTTGTCACCCCAGCCTTTGATCAAGGCTTTCAGAAATGGTCTTTCATTCATGATATGGGATTCCAATGAAGCAACAGTCAGAGGGTAGAAGACCGCATTCAGAAGCAAAGTACCTGCTCCCTCAGGCTCCTTTGTCGCTCTGAAGATCGCATCCAGATTACTGAAAATGCGCAACACAAGCACTTCCGTGGTAGGGAGAGCTCGTTTCCGGAGCGCTGTCTCTTGAGGGTTCTCTGGTTGTGATACGATCATATCATCAAATCGGTGCAAGCGACGATGTCTCAGGGCCAGAATCCCCGCCGATCTATAAGCTTCCCACAGCTGGCATTGCAGCAACGTCCCCTGGGCACCAGGCCAATTCCAAAATTCTTCTTCGTTGGCCTCTCGAGTGCCAATACAGGAGAAAATATCGAGTAAAGACCTTGGAAGGCCGCTTACCACCTCGACATCATGACCTATTTCTGAATTGATTGCAGTGGGGTCTTTGCGTTCTCGACAGTGGTTTCTCCAGAAACCAAGACAGGAGTTTCGGCGACCAATGGTAAAAGTAGGAAGATCCATCACACCCATTACCTCGAAGAGATGTGTGCGGAATGTACTGGTTTCGGACAGAAGGTTTCGGAACCCTTGCAACTGAATGATACTGTACATACCTCGGAGGTGCATCGTCCACGGTGTGCCACGCAAAACCTGATTGATTTAGTATCCTTGTTGATGGAGGCAGGAGGTTAAGAAGGACATGAGCGCACCCCAACGCTGCAGAGAAGAAGCCCCGCTGCAAGTGTACCATCCGGCAAGTATGACGCACTGTGTGCTAGTTCTGATCTAAAATGGTTCAGAGCCGCGTCGTAATACTCGAAGAATCGAGAGCCAATGTCATCGGATATTGAAACTTGGAGAGCCAGGCAGATGAAGTATAGTGCATCGGATTGCTGAGAAAGTGTAGGAAGTTGCGCTCCCAATAGACTGGCAGGGTCATCGGTGGTTGTTGAGTGTAAAGTGTTAACGCCTGAAGTAAGGACTGCACAATACTTAATCCTTCATCATCGAAGACACGGGGCCGAAGGGAACATTTGCATACATCTCTGGAAGAGTACCTCGTCTTCTTCTGATCGCTGTCGTGCTTCGGGGGACGTTAGTGGAGACAGGTCAGAGGAGAAATTAGTGCTAGCATCATAAGCTGCCTCAAACATGTTAGCAAGAGGCCAGTACATCGGTAGATGGACAACATATGGGACACGGTACATGCACTATTACTGCAAGGAGGGGATGCGGTAGTCCTCGTCTTCCCCACATTGGCGATATATGCAACTTCTTGCTGGGTTCGGCGCCTCTCACGACTCAGATCACGCCGCCGTCCTTTGCGCCTTGCAGGTACGGAGGTCTCGATTGGCTCTTCTGCTCCAGTGTAACGGCCTCGCGATGCAATGCCGGCTCCCCATCGCAGCCGGACCTCATATCCCTCACATTGGAGCCCGCGCTGAATGCAGGATTGGCAGTTGGGTCTCGTTCTATCGCATTTGCGGCGTCGGGCCTTGCACGTCCAGCAGCCGTGATGAGATCGTTGATGAGGGGTCGACATTCCTGATCGGTGTCATGAAGTATACGAAAGTCAGACCAAAATCGAGGTCATGATAGGCAGAAGCGGAAAGTAAAGACCTGCTTAAAATGTGGACCCTTATCAGACAACATAGAGAGGGTGAGTGAGGGGAAAGTCGGAGAGATAACAACGTACCTGGCCGATAACTAGTCACAATAGCTTATCAGACGGGTCCTGGGTCGACTTGCTGTATTAGGTCTAGCTCAGCATCAACCTTATTTCCCTTTGCATTGTACAGAGTATTGTAGTCGTAAACAGTTTCATCCTTTGCAACGAGTCAGCATCAATTGACTCAGTCATTTGCAAATGACCCTGTGATCTAACACTAACAATGGATGCTGCAGGTGCGACTAAATTGGCCTTCGCCATCCTTCTTCATCCATAAATAGCAACGGAGGAAGACATGCAGTCTTGGTGACGAAATACTTCTCACCAGGCTACTATGTCCTTCCTCACTCCGATCTCAAGATGCTCAACTGAGCTACAATCCCTTGGAAGACTCGAGGGTTTGCAATATGAAAACGGGGTCCAGCAGTATTGTGGCATTCACTATGCTCGTCTTCGCAAACGTTGGACACGTTCAGAGCTGAATACCACATGGGAGAATGACCACCATGACGGGACCAAATTGGGGTAGACTATACTTCTTATATTGTTCAAATTTCTGGTCTCACTGACGAGGATCTCTAGAGCTGATGTCCCACGGCCAATGCTCGAAGGCGACGACTCGGACGATTTGACGCCAGTGCCACCACCAGCACACTTCCCAGAAATCCCACAAGTGGACGAGCTGCGCGGGCTCGTGATGAACATCGTGATTCCACATGCTCCAAACAGCCAGAAGCTACCCGTTTTCGTCTACGTTCACGGTGGCTCGCTCCTTTACGGAGGTGCCAACCTTCCTATCTTCGACTGCGTGAACCTTGTTTCGCACAGCATCAAGATCGGCAAGCCCATCGTCTGCGTCAACTTCAACTACCGCGTCGGGCTAGGCGGCTTCCTAGCCAGCCAAGCCATCAAGCAGGACCTCGAACGCGACGGCTATCAAGGATGCGGAAATTTTGGGTTCACAGACCAGCTGGTAGCCTTCGAATGGGTCCAGCGATACATCGCATCCTTTGGCGGTGATCCTAACGAAGTCACAGCAGTGGGAGAGTCGGCCGGTGGGATCTCCATTAGCAACCATCTGGTATCTTCCCACCCGCCGCGCTTCCACCGAGCCGTGTGCATGTCCGGCCTGTCCGTTTCCATACCCCCTTGGACCATGGAGCAACACGAAGAGTACTTCCGCGCCGTGTGTCGGTACTTCGACATCAACCCGTCCGCCCCAGACGTGCTCGACCGCCTACGTGAACTCCCCCAGCAGGAACTCGCGAACGCCACCGCCGCCATCCAGGGCGTTCTCTCTGGCACCGGAAACCCCTGTCTTGACGGGTGGTTCTATGATCGCAATCCCCTGGAGGTCCACGAGCCACCCCGCTGGCTCAAAGCCTACATGCTGGGCGACGTCTACCACGAAGGAGTGATCTTCCATCTCAACATGCTGACCGACACCTACGACACAGTCTTCCAAACCCTCCAAAGCAAGATCCAGAACACCGACGAAACCACCCGAATCCTCCGAGAGTACGCGATCGAACCCGATGGGCTAACTTCGGAAGAATTCCTCACGCGCCTGGAGCACATGTGCGGGGACGCAATCTTCAAGATCCCCAACTACGCTACCTCGCTGCTCTGCGCTTCGCTGCGGGAGAAGAACGCCTTGTACCTCTATCACTTTGACCGACGGTCCCGGCTCAAAAATCCCTTGGAGGGTACCGCATACCACGCCATCGAGCTCCTGTATCTCTTCGGGAACCTGGACAACGAGATGAACGACGACGAGAAAGCTATGGCTCGGGATTTCGCCACGGCGTGGATCACCTTCGCGTACGGTGAAGCACCGTGGTCTGCACCGGGGGGTCATTGGAAAGTCTGGGGTCAGAACTGCGTTCATGAGGTCCAGAGCGAAGAGGAAGACCAGCCAATCCGTGACTATGCGCGTATGAAACGGATACTGGCCATGGGTAACGGCAGGACCTGGACCAGGTGGCTTGACGGGGTAGATTCGCTCGTGAACAAGCGGATGAACATGGGCAAGTTTACCAGGCAGAAGAAAGCCTGAAATCTCACTTCAGCTTACCTGCCCAGTCCAAGTAAGCTAGTCAGGGCAATCTTGAATGAATATGCTACCATAGATTCCGATACTTGCTTGCTCTTCTATTTTCAAAGGCCCTCTTCTAGATACAACAAGAAGAAAAATGAGGTATAAATGTTAAGAGACATCGACAACAACACTCAGCATCAAGAAAACAAACACAAGAATCCTGGGAAACTTTTTCAAGAACGAAGTATTTACACACACACACACACAAACACAAAGACCCCCAGAATTTTCCAAAGTACGCCATCCGCGCATCATACAAGAAAAGGTTTAATCACGGCGTCAAACCCCCGAGAGAGTTTAGGTGAGCATATCATCCAATCTCTCCCCTAAGACCTCCTCGATCTGTTTGACCCACTTGCGGACCTCGCGCTCGACGTTCTCATCCTCATCCTCCATCAGCTCGCTGATATACGGCAGCATCTCCGGCAGCAGAGCCAGCCATTCTTCGCCGAGCTGCTCGGTGAGCGATTGCTCCGCCTTGAGGGCGGCCAGACGCGTGTGCGGGTTCTCGCCGCCGGCAGCGGCCTTACCCGAGGGTCCGGCCGAGGGGCGGAGGAGACGCATCAACGCCGTGTTGAGTTCCTTGTGATTGTCGGTGGAGTCGGCGGCGACGGCCAGCTCCGTGATGGCGGGGACGGCCTCGGCGATGACGAGGGCGGCCGTGGAGGAGTTCGTGGCATGGGCGAGCTGGGAGATCAAGGGCTGAGCGATCGCGGTGAGGTGGGACGGGGATTGCCAGAATTCTGCGATGGTTTTTTTTAGTTGTGTTGTGCGTGTTGTGGGGAGTTGAGAAGTGACACATACCGTCTTGGTCGTGCTGGAAGGCATTCCGGAGCATGCGCATCGTTGCCAGCCACAGACTCTTGGTGTTCTGGTTCGAGGGGCTGGCTTTGGCGAGGACCTTAACCACATTTTCCAGGATGTAGCTTGCGTAGCCGGTGACAATGGACTGATTCGGTTAGATATGATGATTGCATTGATAGACTGATTGGATAAACTTACCTGAAGAGTGCCGAAAAATACTTGGAGGAACTTGTAGAAGGTCGTAAGGCGAGCCAGACTACCTTGGGTATCTTTCTTGGCTGTAGTGGTGGAGGTAGCCCAGTCAAGGAGCTTGGTGAAAATAGGACGGAAGGTGGTGTCATTCAGCTTGTAAACCATCTTGATGGCGACCTCATTGATGACATCCTCGATCTCGTCCAGGTGTGACAAGTCGATGGTGGCATTCGAGCCTAAGGACACTTGCTGGCGGCGGAGGTCAAATGCCTTGAACAGAATGCTGGTGATGACCGCAAGGTTGTTAACGGTAGCAGATTTGGGATGCTTCTCAATAGCAA